GGTAAAGTCCAAAGACTAATGTATTTAAGAATAATTCCCACCATAATAGGTGGTGAATTATAATAGTGTGTGGTGATGATATCCCGTTTTCTTTAGACGGTAATTTCACTACAAGTTACGTTTTCTATGGTTAACTTGTTTATACAACACAGCTATTATCTGTCTGTATGATATATTAAATGGTGTCGGATTTTCCGACATTAGGTATGTAGAAATCCAAATTCTTAAAAAAAAAAAACTTTTCCGCACACGCTTTTTAATATTTTAACCCAACGATTTCTATTAAATTAAAGTTATAACTTTAAAGTTATAACTCTATTAACGACAAAGATTCATTTGCCAATTTACATGTAGACTATTACTGGAACCATAATATGCTTTCTGACCATCACAAATATCTACATAACTGTCGAGGTGGTTTAAGGGTGGGTATAATTTCTCATGGTAATGGATTTGCTCCGAGGACTGAGCGCGGTTACCATAGAAATTCCCAACACTTCGCTTGTACCTGTCAGGGCACACACTGTTAACATTAACGGACATCCCTATGTTAGTTTCCTTCGTGTAGACTGCAAGGTGAATACCACCACTCATTTCCAAGAATGTTACATCTAAGAAAGGCAGCCTAACATCGCTCCCCATCTCGTAAGTGAATCCTATCCCGGAACTTTGCTCAAATGCGTCCTTAAAGTGTAGCAAGCGCTCATTGTCAGGTGCCTGCAATAGACGCCAGGATTTAGGTTCGCGTCAGTCAAGACTCTCTGCTCAATTGTACGCATGTAAATATTCGCAAATAGGACTCCTAGGGTGAGCGGAAGTCCATGGCAACACTTTTGTTCATGAGACCAGCAGGTATACATGTCATCAGTAGGCGGAACTTCGAAATATACAGCATGGTTGGGGGGGGGGGTAGGGATAGCTTAAGCTACTCTATCCCTTTGAGATGTATTTTCTAGTCTCAATAAACATACTTGAACTGAACAGCATGGATGCTATAATGCGTGACAAGAGGTTCCATCTAGAGGCAGAATTTAACATTAGTGCGAGTAGAACCAAGAGGGCGTCGCAACCTATCCTCGAAACCGTTGATTTCGAAGCCACGTATCATTTGATTACAAATATTAAAGCCTAAAAATTCATTATCATTTGTATATTATAAATTTTAATATGTGTTGGCTAGCAAATTATTAAAAAGGCACATTGTCAACAAATGTTGCCAAATGGCTTCAATGATTCATAGAATTAACCCGAACTACACAAAAGAACCCAAAACTTTGTAAACTCATGTAAATAAATAAGAAACTAATTTTATTTGTCTAGCTATAATATTGGTAATTAACGAAGAACGTGAATAAAATATAATTTTGCTCAGTAATTAGCTCATCAACCCTCTTTAGCTTCACCTAATTTGGTCTTATTACCTTCTAAAATGAGCTTAGACTGGAGAGGAAGAATAAATTACAATATGGTCGACCGGCAGTTGAAAGGAGTGGGTATGGAGGAGGCCCAGGAGCTGATGCCCCGTGTCTTACTTATGCTCAGTGAGAGCTCTCAGTTGGTACTGAACAAAGATGTACCTCACCTGGAGCTCAAGTGTGAGCTGTATCCTAGCGGAAGCTGTACATGGTAGTGGGAGCTGGCTTAGGGAGGCGGTGGCGCTGCCTTCGCTGCTAAGAAGTGGAGTTGTGTAATGTTTGACACGAAGCTGGAAGCACCTTGATCTTGCCCAGTGCTGTTTGGTGTCCGTGTAACAGTTGCATATCCGTATCACCGCCTTTTGTCTTGTTCTTTAAATAATAATCTTTATTCTTTCCATGCCTCCTGGTGTGTGAGTATTTTACGATAGGTGATATATGCGTTCTTGAGTGTAAATGTCACTAGTTCTGTCAGATTATTTGTAGAGAAACGCCATTATGAGAGTAGGCTTTAGTACTGGATAATTTTCCACCTATATTGGCTTTATCAAATCCTACAGAGATACACATTATTAGTGTATATAAAGAAAACTAATTGATGGATTTGTAGTGTTTAATGGTTGCAGATTGTGTACACTGCTTCCCAATCCTAATGTTGTCTTCGTTGATGATGAGCTTAGTATTCCTCAAGTCCAAGGTGGTCTTGGGTGGTGTGTGATAAGTGGTGTTGGTGTTATGGACCCGACACGCATACCTGTATATGAGATTCCTCGCATATAAGGTTCGGCAAATGTCACCAATATGTGCTTTATTACAACTAGTATACTGTATTTCATTCACCTGGGCTGTATAATACAAGTATACTGTATAATAATATACACCACGACTATGCAGACCGTGTGGCTGTTAGTTGCTAAGGTTCATAATATATAAATCTCTGCCTTGGTGTTATTAGTTGTTAGTTTAACATGAGTGTATTTTATACCCTGTACTAGTTATATAAAGTATATGTAGACGAAACATTCTAAAACTCGGATGAGAGGATTTACGAACACACGTATACCGGATGTGTCGATAACACCAACAACTCTGTTGTCAAACACAGGATGAGTTAATTTAGTTCAATTGTTATGCACCCCATACCCATCTTGTGGGCGGTAGTGGAAAGGGTTACAGAGGCACATAATGGGCTCAGGGACTGAGCCCCACAATTCATTTAGCTAAGCAAGTTACAATCTTGATGATCTAGCTACAAAATTCAAGGAACATCGTCACATCAACAATGGGCTCGAGACCGACCACAAGTACAGTCTCTAAATCAACTGACATATGTGGAGAGCTAGTGTCACAGTTTATATGTTTGTCCTGCACACCGCCCCCCATCCAGTGGGCAGCGGTGGATAGGTTATAATCACTTAATTATTACCTACAGTTACCAAACTGGGGATATTTGGCTAAGATTTCTGGTAGCAGATTATTTGAATGAAATATTTACACATCTCTGGAACATTTGTTATAGAATTGTCTCTGAATTCACGTATCTTTTCGCACTCCATCACATAGTGACGGAAGGTGTGCGAATAATTTTGTTGACAGTTTACATTTTGTCAGGTCTACATCAGTAAATAATGAGAATTCCCAGAGATACTTGTAACCGAGTCTAAGCTGAGCAGTAGAAACATTTAGAAGTCTGCTGATTTTATTGGATGAACCATAGATGTGTGGCGTCTCTTTCATGATAATAGTATGATGATAGATGGAATTACTGGTGTCGATTTCACTGCCTCAAATCTACAAGATTTTGTTGAAGTTCTTGGTGTATTATTGCTCTCAGACTGCTTATTGACAATCCAAGGTTATACTCTTAGTTTTGATATCCAAAGGGTTTGGAAAGGATGGGGGAGGTAGAGGGATGGGAAGGGGAAATTCTGGAAGAGGATGTGGGTATAGAGAGGAGGTTTGAAAGTTCGGTGGCCTTTCCACCATGGGTTGGCATATGTGTGTGTGTCGTTTGTTTGGATGTGTGGTATGATGGATTTTCATTACATTTGCTGGGTGGCTAGTGTTTGTGTCCTAGCTTGTGTCTGGAAACCCTAGAGCCGTTGGAGTTGGCTGCAGGAAATTAATCTTAGCCAATTTCTCCTTTACAGCCAGATTCTTTGGCTAACTCATTAGCTCTATCATGCATTCGGAGGCCAGCATGAGATGGAGTCCACATGAAATGGACTGTTACCATCATGAATAATTTTGTTGTATTTGTGTGATAGACCGAATTGCTAATCCTTTTGCAAAAGGATTTCAAGATTGAATTCAACAATTGACCTATGTATAGAAAGTCAAATAAAAAAGCTTCGGAATTTCTTTCAAATGCCACAAGAAGACTCAAGTAAAATGTGTCAGAAATAACCCACTGATTTATAAGTCAATGATACTGTCAGAGACATGTTTGTGGAAGCTATTGAAGACTTATTCAAACCTTCAGAACTTCCTGCACATTTATGAGGCTAAAATGTTCACACACTTTGGTGGCAAAATTTAGTTTGAACAAACGTTTCAAAAATAAAACAAATAAAAACTTCACATCAAGAGTTTCTGATGAACATTTGCATAACATTTGAAGTTTGTAAAGTCATGCAGTTTTTTGGCTTCATAATATTAGAATTTAGTTATTCTTTCAAGGTGATTTCTGCAACGTATACAATAATGTCCAATGAAAACTAATGAGTTAGACTGTAATATTTTTTATTTTTAAATTTTAAGTTGTTATATTTGTGTTGCATAGTTGAGTATATTTGTTTTTATAATTCAGTATTAATATCACATTAAATAAAAAAATATATTCGCAAAAGCCTATAAATTTATAATTTGGAAAGATTCACATAACAATTACAGTACATTAATTACATTAGAGAGTCACAATAATACCACAGCACGTAGACATTGTCATTACCAGAATCAGAAACTTTATTCTTAATAACTTATACAAATCATTACAGTACTGATTGGACTAAACAAGTGTATATCAATCTAAATTAAACATAATTTTATACATAGAGTGAGTGACATTTAACTGGCAAATTGAAAGGTGGTATATTGTAACAACAAATTAGTGAGATTTACCAAAATTAGGATGAGATGGAAGTAGAATATAAACTAATCATACCCTGATCCCATAGATATTTGCACATCCTCAAAATTCTATATCTGGGGCTATGCATTTTCAAAATCACTCTAAACACACAGCTCATACAACATAAATCTGACTTCAATTGGACTTCAAATGCCTGCCAATAATCCATCCTCCCATGACAGTAGTTCCTTCAAATTCCAAATATCCATCTAGGGTCATCATAAAATATGAGTGAAAAAATAGTGTTATATACTCTTAAGTTCCCTCATCTGGGGAGTATTTTCAATTGTGATTTGGTTTCAAAATAATAGAATTACAATATAAAATAATTATTCTTAAATATTTACTGGTTTAGACTCACGAATTTAAGTGTAATATTTCAGATATTTAAGTTTATTAATTTCCTGATTAAGTTAATAATTGTCTCTATTGCACTGTATAGATTTTTTAGTTCCTTTGTGTGTGTGTGTGTGTGTGTGTGTGTGTGTGTGTGTGTGTGTGTGTGTGTGTGTGTGTGTGCGCGCGCGCACGTAACAAAAACAAACATTAAATTTAAACAAAAGAAATCTCAAGGCATTAGTCATATTTAAATATTTTATTAATAAAACTTTAACATAACAATCAAACTACAACAAGATAAATATATAAATGTACTAAGCATGTATGTAATACGCAGTTGACCACCTGCCCGCGACCTCCATATTAATGCAGACGGCGTCTCGTCAGCCAAGCATTGCCCAAGTCATCTTCACAAACACATCGTGTCCCCCCCTCGCACCCAAAGTTTCGACCGATAATGAAGTAATTTGTAGATGAGTCAGACTGAGCAGAATTGTCATGGGAGACTCATGTATTGCAACACGAGTCAAGGAGGGTCTTAGTGCTTCATCCATCTTCATCTTATTCACTCATTAGGTGACTCTCATTCATCTAATTCATTTGATAGTGAATGAGTGAATATGAATATTATTCATCTCAGTCACTCATTCACTCCTGTGAAGAGATATATAACAATTAACAGTTGTAAACCTAATGAAACAAAAATATATATATGTTATTGAACATAACAGAAAGGGTGAGATCAAAGACTTCAGCACGAATTTTCTCTAATCGACCTAATATGTTTAGTCGTGTTCTCTATGATGGTAGAGTGTAATTTGGTGTTAGTTGGCTGTTGATGGCTGGCTATATATATACTATACATATGATGGGGAAGATGGGGGAATTCAATGACAAGACCGAGGATATCTGGGGACACTGCCGTGGTTTGTTTGGAAATGTACAGCTTTATATATATATATTTTTTCAAAAGAGAAGGGAGTACCACCTCTGGCTGGAAGAGGGTGACCCTTAGCTTCGGAGGAAACCACACATAATGCATTAGAGGGAATGTTTAGGTCCCCTCCAATACAGTTTCAGTGTACTTTTCTCCTACCACCCCCTTTTTATGTTATTTTTTGCTTTATTATATTTTTTTTTAGAGAGAGAGAGAGAGAGTGAGAGAGATGTTACTTACTCGCCAGACGCAGGGAGCTGTAGCCTCTCTTGCCGAAGGTGTGTGTCCGGTAGTTCCTGATGCCCAGGCGCCTCTGCCCCGGGAAATCTCTCTGTGTCATGATGATCTGCGGCGCCGCCAACGCCGCCCCCATCATCGCCACCAGAACCAACAACAACACCTATCGATGATGGAGATCATTCAGACTAAGAAGCTATAATAGGTGATAAGTATATTTAAACATTATCAATGTGATAATAAATACATTTGATGCACGCAAATACCATAGTATCTTTTAAAACTAATAGGCAGTCATTTGAGCATAAACAATAATATGGTTGGGAATTATCTTGAACCTGTACGGTGTGACGCTCCACTTAGGAGGCTATCTTATGAAGAAATACAAGGGCGAATAATACTTTTCTAAGGCTTTCAAATGGACCAAACAATTTAATATGGGGGCATTATATATAAACGGGCTATGAGACTATTAACATGAAATTGAATTCGAAATAGTGTGTGTTGTAACTGGAAAAGTTTAGCTTTTAGGATTTTTTGTTGTTGTAAACACTCGTTCGAAAATACTGGGGTACGGAACAATTTAGGCTAGCAAGTGACATTGTAGAAGCAAACCACCACGAGTCCGAAGTGGTCATGAGGTAACTGCCTCTCATGGGTTAGACAAGTCCACCAGTGGTCGTGGAGGGTGTTAGTGGTTGCTGCCTCTCATGGGTTGGACAAGTCCACCAGTGGTCGTGGAGGGTGTTAGTGGTTGCTGCCTCTCATGGGTTGGACAAGTCCACCAGTGGTCGTGGAGGGTGTTAGTGGTTGCTGCGTAATTTAGGGTAAGTCTCTTCATGCATATTTGTTTTTCTCGTGTTTTTTCTAAATCTCAACTTAGTTGAGATTTTGAATCATTTTCAAAACTTAACAGCTTACTTACCAGTTTAATTTTCATTGTGCCTTGTCGAAGTAATCAGTTTCACTCGGTATACCTGTTGAAAGAGGGATTATAACACTTTCGGACAAATAGTTCAATGTATGTGAAGTTTGTAACTCGCAGCTATATCTGAATTCACTTTGCATTATATATACTGTATATACAAATGTCAATACAATAATTCCATAATGTAACACAGAATATCCTCGTATGTATATTACTTTCTAAAGTATTGTGTAGACTAATATGTTGAAAGAGTTTCTTCGTCTTCAAGAGTTGCGGACCTGCAGTGCCATGCTCTTGGCAGCAGCTTTTATATGGGGAGAATCCAAGGAGTTGCCAGCTAATACAATACTATCTTATCATATATTTTAAGCTCAAGTGGAATTGTTGATATGCTCTAGAGTTTATACACCTCCGTGAGGTAAATGCAAGCGGCATACGTCGCAAGAAGTGGATTTAAGGGACATTTACGAAGGCGGACATGCATTCAGGACTGATAACTCAAAAATGGCAATTCATGTAAGATGATTACCTTAAACTCAACTCTGTTGTTATGGCAGTTATTTCCGTTTTTGCTCGAACATTCCAGATACACAACATGAAATATTAATGCAGCTCAATAATTCCGAAACCAGAACTGAAAATCTTACATTGAATAACAATTAAACTAAAAATTTAAGCGTTCTCTACATATCGGTGAGCAGAGTACACAGTGGCCATCTATTAATAAAATAAAGGCGAGGGAGGGAAGGTAAAGTACTAATATCTTTTAATATGTAATTGAATTTATCTATACACTCACTAACATAATAAAAAGAATCGCAAGAAATTACGAACCAAAAGTGGCTGGGCCGATTCCTTTCTCGATTCCCTCGACCACAATCTATCCTCAGGTCATTATCTACCATTCTTCTCTAAGCATTACCCATCATTCTTTTCTACTCATTACCCTCTTAATCTTCCCCTGATTACATTCTTTCTTTTTCCCCCTCGTTACCAACATTATCGTCAAGCTTTCGCTTATTCTTGGTTAAGAAAAGTTATGCAGTATTTTAATGTTACGATATTTCCATTTCAAAATAGCACCTCCACTGTGGTACAATATTTTTGTCATACTGACAATTAGTAACAATCACTGAATATACACAATCTAGGCAGAAAATGAATTATGAGAACAAAGCACTAAGCTAGCCTGGCTACACACATTCTGGTGGAATCTGTCATAACAAACTGGACAAAACCAGCAACACTCACTATCTGAAACACTCTGGGCACACTCACGTCCATCCGGAATACCTGGGTTTACATTACATAATTTTTTCCTAGAATTAGAACGTGTTCGGGTTCTGAAGACATTTAAAACAAATGTCGTGGACTTAAGAGACTGACTTTAGGATCTCTTGTGGCTCATTTTTAATAGATAACTGCCCCCGTCTTAGACAGGAATGAAATATCATGTTCGTTATTTACAGACAAATGGCAATTCTTCTTATTGTGGAAGCCAGAGTTGGTGTTGCGTTAGGCTTGAAAATTTCGGGAGGATTATTACAGCCACCACAATAGCCTACGGACCAACCAGTAGGGACAGGTTCACACTGAAGATAGCTAAAGGCTGAAATCAACTCATACATACGTCGTGTATGTGTAGAACACGAGTGTACATACGTCGAGAAACGGGGACACACCTCCCGATGGAAACATCCCTTACATGGACAAAGTGGCCAACAGGTGGAAATTCGGTCCTCGCAGAGTTGGGACCAGAGGTGTAGCGAGAATTAACCTGTTCACCAACAGGATGATTGGAAAACGAATATTACTTGTAAAGTAGTCATTGGAAAATGAATATTTAGGAGAAAGCGAGTCCTTGTAAAGAGCATGTTGCAATATGGTCATTAAGAAAGCTCCTGGCGCCAGCTCCTTGAATACATAGTTATGATTAAATCAATACCTTTGTTCTATGAATCTCGTCCGTGGTTGCCACTGTGAACTACCCGCTCGACACTATGAACTTCCTGGTTGCCACTGTGAACTTCCTGGATACCAGTGCGAACTACCTGGTCGATAGTGTAAACTACCAGGTCGACAATGTGAAGAACCTGGTCGCCACCGAACCTGAACTATCTGATAAAAAATAAATAAAATAAACAGCAAACCAGTAGGAGCCGTGAGGTAGATTCGAACCTACGCTCTGGGTATTGCCAAGCACACGCCTTAAACCAGTACAAAACAACATGGAAAAAAAGAGAAAGAAAAGCATTGTTGCTTACTATTCTTATTGATACATAACGTTCAGGTGATTTCTTTGTGTAGAAAAATCTACTTTGTTAAGATTTTGCATTTTCCTTTCATCTGGACTTGATTTTGACAATTCCGTATATTGGTAATATCTGGCCTGATACTTTCTTATCTCAGTAATATCTGGTCTGATACTTCCTTATCTCAGTAATATCTGGCCTGATACTTTCTTATCTCACTAATATCTGGTCTGATACTTCCTTATCTCAGTAATATCTGGCCTGATACTTTCTTATCTCAGTAATATCTGGTCTGATACTTCCTTATCTCAGTAATATCTGGCCTGATACTTTCTTATCTCACTAATATCTGGTCTGATACTTCCTTATCTCAGTAATATCTGGCCTAATACTTTCTTATCTCAGTAATATCTGGCCTGATACTTTCCTATCTCAGTAATATCTGGCCTGATACTTTATTATCTCAGTAATAACTGACCTGATACTTTATTGTCTCAGTAATATCTGGCCTGATACTTATCTCCGTAATATCTGGCCTGATACTTTATTATCTCAGTAATATCTGGCCTGATACTTCCTTATCTCAGTAATATCTGGCCTGATATTTTCTTATCTCAGTAATATCTGGCCTGATACTTTCTTATCTTGGTAATATCTGGCCTGATACTTTATTATCTCAGTAATATCTGGCCTGATACTTTCTTATCTCACTAATATCTGGCCTGATACTTTCTTATCTTGGTAATATCTGGCCTGATACTTTATTATCTCAGTAATATCTGGCCGCCTGATACTTCCTTATCTCAGTAATATCTGGCCCGATACTTTCTTATCTCAGTAATATCTGGCCTGATACTTTATTATCTCAGTAATATCTGGCCTGATACTTTCTTATCTCAGCAATATTTGCCTGATACTCTCTTATCTCAGTAAT